AGAGTGTGGTGGCGCAACAGCTTCCCCGGTACCTGGATGAAGCTGTCTATCTAGACCCGCTCCAGTCCGGCTTCCGGCCTGGGCACAGCACGGAAACGGCATTGGTCGCATTGGTGGATGATCTCTGGAGGGCTCGGGATAGGGGTTGCTCCTCTATCCTGGTCCTGTTAGACCTCTCAGCGGCTTTTGATACCATCGACCATGGTATCATGTTGCACCGGCTGGCAGGGTTGGGAGTGGGGGGCACCGTTCTGCAGTGGTTCTCCTACCTCTCTGACCGGTCGCAATCTGTGTTGACAGGGGGGCAGCGGTCGACCCCGAGGCACCTTGCTTGTGGGGTGCCACAAGGGTCGGTCCTCTCGCTCCTTCTGTTCAACATTTATGTAAAGCCGCTGGGTGAGATCATCTGTGGTTTCGGGGTGGAGTTCCATCAGTACGCTGATGACACCCAGCTGTACATCTCCACCCCAGGCCACCCCAACGATGCCCTTGAAGTGATGTCCCAGTGCCTGGAGGCCGTGCGGGCCTGGATGGGGAGAAACAGGCTCCGACTCAACCCCTCCAAGACCAAGTGGCTGTGGCTTCCGGCGTCCCGATATAGCCAGCTGATGCCATCGCTGGCTATTGGGGGTGAATCACTCACCCCCACGGAGAGGGCTCGTAACTTGGGCGTCCTCCTGGACGCACGGCTGTCTTTAGAAGATCATTTGACGGCCGTGGCCAGGGGGGCTTTTTATCAGGTTCGCCTGATACGCCAGTTGCGCCCCTTTCTAGATCGGGACTCCCTACGCACAGTCACTCAGTCACTCATCACTTCCCGCCTGGACTACTGCAACGCTCTCTACATGGGGCTCCCCCTGGGGTGCACCCGGAGGCTCCAGCTGGTCCAGAACGCGGCCGCGCGGGGGATTACAGGGGCGACGAGGCATTCCCATGTGACACCTCTCCTGCGCGAGCTGCACTGGCTCCCGGTGGTCTTCCGGGTGCGCTTCAAGGTGTTGGTTGACCCGCTTTAAAGCGCTCCATGGCTTAGGGCCGGGATATTTACGAGACCGCCTTCCGCCACCAATAGCCTCCCACCGGCCAGTACACTCGCACAGAGTGGGCCTCCTCAGGGTGCCGTCCGCCAGACAATGTCGGCTGGCGACCCCCAGGGGGAGAGCCTTCTCTGTGGCGGCGCCCACCCTCTGGAACAACCTCCCCCCCAGAGATACGTACAATAACAGACCTCCGGATCTTTCGTCGGGCCCTGAAAACCTATTTATTTCAACTAGCTGGGCTGGCTTGAGTTAAATTTTTAAATTGATTTTAAATTGGATTGTTTTAATTTACGGCCAAAATATTTAATTATTTTAAACTGTTTTTAAATTTTGTATGTTCTGTTTTTACTTTGGCTGTTCACCGCCCTGAGTCCTCTTTGGAGAAGGGCGGTATAGAAATTGAAACAAACAAACAAACAAATAAATAAATAAAGCAGCCTCTCTGAAAGACTGGAGGCAAGGGTTTTGAAGGCTTTATCTCATATAACTAGTCTTTGGGAACATGCACAGCCGCTTCATTTTTCTGGTAGCCCTAGTGGGAGTAGAACCTGTCTTTGCACATGCATGTAGAAACAACAGGGAAAAATGAGTAGCACACTAAGCTTTCTGGGGGATGCAACTGCTGTAATACTATGAGGAAACGAGCTCCAATTGAACCAATGTATCCCAGAAAATGTTCTTTGGATTGTTTTCTACAACTATATTATGAATCTGCTTCATTATCACACAGAATAAATGGGTAGAAGGTAGGAAAAATCACATTCCTCCTTTTGCTTTAGACAGAAGATTTATGCCTATTTTATCCATAGTAACTTAAAAAGCATAATGCAAACAATGCTAAAAATCAGAGACACAAGGCAAAGAAGGTAAATATAGAAAAGATGGAACAGGATACTATTTCAGAGATTAATGTTGCTATACAACAGGGGTGTCAAACTCAAGGCCCAGGGACCAGATCCGGCCCTGCTTCCGTCTGCCAGTGAAAATGGACCTCGGGAAGAGTGGCAGGAGGCCATCACGGCTGAAAACGGAGCTCGGGAGCCCGTTTTCACTGGCAGAGCGCTCGGGCCACTGCAGATGCCCCCGACACAAGTGATGTTAAGCTGGCCATGCCCACCCCGGCCACACCCATCCCAGCACCCAAAGTGAAACACAGCTCTGATGTGGCCAACATCATATTTCCCCAAACTAAGTATTGCTACTTAAACATGCTGGTCTGTAAATACTTAACAGTAAAAAAGACATTCAGGCAAATTTAGTAGCTTAAACATGTCAAGCCTGGTCAGAGAGCACAAATGGTCTATAGATCAATATACTATATAGATTCTGTGTTATCTGTTTTGTTACAACAAATCGTCTAACTAGTACGTGGCTGTTTAAACTAACTGATTTTTTTAGAGCATTGTGTCTCTGGTTTCTGTATGAATTTATCAGAAATGTTTATAATATTAAAATTGACCACTGCTTTTCTGCTACAGTTGTTAAGCAAATCACTGAAGTTAAGTGAATCATATTAAGTTAAGGAAATCTGACTTTCTTCATTGACTTTGCTTGTCAGAAGCAAAGTAAGTTGAGGACACATAATTTGTGTTCTGAAATCAAAGCTCTAAACAATCTCCACTCTCCGTTCCACTTTGCTGTTTGGACATCAGTGGGGTTGATGTCTCCAGGGAGGGGGAAGAATCAATCGTATTTGAGCCATAATTTGTTTCCAATTTGTTGGAAAAGCACTAATTGACTGGCTTCACATATTTCACTAAGACATAAGCAAAAATTTATAAAGCATTCACTTTGCCTGAGTTTATCCAACATGCTAAACTAAAACCAAAACCAATCAAACCAGATAATGGTTACAACACACTTTGTTAATATTTCTTAACTTTCACAGGATCAAAGCCATGGTATAATAGTGGGCAGCATGTTGCATCAATGAACCTTGAAAAAAAAACACCCTACCAAGATCCAAATTCTTCCTTAGTTATAGGACTGCAGGATGGCCTTGAGCAAATTACTTGCTGAAATTATTTTCTATTTACTTGCATTTTGGCACAAGAATGTCTATAATGATTACATATTATCAAAATTATCATGTATACTGCATACTATTAGATATATTACGGGCTAGTTCACACCACAATATAAAGTGAAAGATCCATTACTGTACATAATATATGTGAACACCTTCCTCTTAAATTCACAACAATTCTATGAGGTAGGTGGGTGACTGCTATAGACCTAACCAGTGAATTGCTCTCTTTTTTTTAATTTAATATTTTCATTTAACTTTCTTAACTTACACAATTGACAGTATTTAAACTTAAAAGAAAAAAAAGAAACCAAAACAAAAATAGAGGGGAAAAAATTAGAAGAGGGACCTCTTACAAAGACTACAAACTATGAAACGAAAAAGAGATGAAAAATAAGCTGCCTTATAATTTATATTATAAATTATAATATAGTTTATAGTTTATATAGAGACAGACTACTACAGAATATGGAACAAATGGTATAATTGGCTTAACACTATCAATAAAGAAAAATAAATACAAGAAGAAAAGAACAAAAATACAAATATGTATATAAATAATTTTTTATAGGTATATAATATGAATGGAAAAATGTAAAACAGTAAAGATGTAATCAAAATATATAGATCTTTATAGGGGGAAAGACAGGGAGAGAAAAAAAGAAGAGAAGAAAAGGAGGAGGGGGAAAAAAGGAGTATTAGACTAAGAAAAGGGGGAAGAAGTATAAAGTATCAGATGGAAAACCACTATGAAACTATGCTTAAAAAGGATAAGCTATTTATATGTCGTATGTTGTGTAAATGTCTAATTGTGTTTTAATAAAATTTATAAATTTTTTAATAAATTTATATTTATCAATAGTCCTTGGTTTACTAATAGAATGAACCTCCTAAGGCAAGAAGAGATTTAAACCTGGGTTTCCCCAAACTAATGCTATTTATATGTAGCCATAACATTGTACAATAAAAAACAAAATGATCACAAAAATACAGAAATAATTCCAGAAATAATCTTTAAAACTGCCCAACCCTTTTAGAACATATTAAAAACAAAACCAATGTAATACGACATATGGATGACTGATCTGAACTGAATGCTAGTCTTTCCAAGTGTTTTCCCAAGTGTTTTCCCAAGTGTCAGATGTGCAGATTTCTTGTGAAAGGCTGTTGCACTGCCAAGAAGCACAATGAACTTGCTTTCCCCTGGATTTCGAGCCGGGGAAATCCCCTGGATGGCTCAGGATACATCCTGGTTTCTTACCTGGACTACACCTTGGTCCAGGGAACGTAGTTCTTTTGTCATACATAGTGCAACATACAGGGAACCAATATTTAATTTGTACCTGAACGCATGTTCCAAGAAAAAACAAACAAACTTAACATGTAATTTATTTCCCAGTGAGACCAATACCCTGTAGGTTCATAAAGGAATCCCGGGGAGCTTTATTCTAAAGCAAACTAAAGATTTCTTCCTCTCCAACAGGCTGCCTACCAAGTAAGTTTCGTTAAAATATAAAATATTTATATTTATGCAAGCAGGATAAACTGTAAACCTTTGGATCACGCTGAGCGACAACTTCCACCAGCATAGAAGTTCCCTCCAAGGCAAATCTTTTAAATCTAAAAACTCCAAGGCAAGAATCCGGGCGAGGAACCAAGACGCGCAATCTTGAAGAAATTCAATGAGAAACAGGACCGGGGCGGGGAGGATCAGGAAGAGAAGCCTCTTGCTCGAGACCTTCATACGGTCGGAGGCTCGGCTGGAAAACCGTAAAGCGGCTTTTCGGGGGCCAAGGAAATACCGGGGGGGACGGGGACGACACGCTTTCAAGCCCAAGAGGGGTCGTTTTTTTTCCTCGGGGTGGGGACGACTTTTTCAAGCGGGTTTGGCGCCCTCGACTCGGCGCTTGAGCTCCGGAGAGACGGTCTCTCACCTTCCATAGGTTCAAAGCGAAGCGGCTGGGTCCCTTCTTGCCTTCTCCCTCTTCCTCCTCCTCCTCCTTCTCTCGCCAGAGGTACCTCGCGGCCTTTCGGCGGCTGGGAAGCTCAGCAACGCGACCTCGAGGACTCCTCCCCGCCAGGCCGGGCCTGCAAAACACCCGGCCGGTTGCCCCGCAGAGGGGCGGGAGCACAGGCATAACGTTACACGGGAGGCCGAGGCAGCCCGGTCCCGCCTCCTCTTCGCCGGGGAATATCCGAGGGTCTCCCGCCTTGACTCTCGCTCCGGCTCCGCCCCCCCGACCGCTCCGGGCCCGGTGAGGGAAGCACCCGGCCTCCCTCACGCCCGTCCCCGCCGCCTTGGGAGCGGCCCCGGAGAGGCCGCGGCGGCCTTTAGTGTCCAGGCGCCTCCCCCTCGCGGCCATCTGCCGGGAGGGGCAGAAGCAGAGGCGGGCCGCGAAGGCGAGGGAGTCGAGTCAGCCGCTGGGAGGTGGAGGTGCGGCTTGGCAGGTCCTGGGTGCGGCGGGGTCTGGGATCCGCTTCTGTCGTGGCTGTCTTAACCTGCGCCAGTTTTCGCCATTCCGATTCAGGGGGATGGGGGGGACCCGAGGTAGGAAAAAGTCTGGCCTGTGGCGCCTTTGGAGCACTCTGCACTTGCTCAAGGGCACTTCGGAAGGGCGAGGCTGAGAGCCCCGATGGCCGATTCCCTGCTTGCCACACATTCGCACAATACATTACTGCGTTACTATTACTATTAATCTTCTCGACGTTCCTATCACCCATTTCCTCCCACTTACTATTGCATGACTGTAACTTGTTGCTGTATTCTTATGATTTATATTGTTTCCTAGTATGATTCGATTGCTTATTTGTACTCTATGACTATCATTAAGTGTTGTACCTTATGATTCTTGACGGATTTTCTTTTTATGTTCTTTTTATTTAACCAATTTCGTTGTATACATGATGTACAATGACAATAAAGGTATACTAATACTACCCTACCCTACCCTACCCTACCCTATCCTATCCTATCCTATCCTAACCTATATAGGAGAGAGAGCATATGCACCGAAGACAAATTCCTTGTGTGTCCAATCACACATGGCCAATAAAGAATTCTATTCTATACGGAAGACGCAGATAAATGGCAGTCCAGCGTGTAAGAAGCAGGAACAAGGGCTGCCTTAGGAAATCCGCAGCAGGGATGGATGTCTGAAGGGGTAAAAAACCAATGCTAACCCTTGAACCCAAACCTGTAACTTGCCAAGGCTCTTAAAAACTTTGCCCTATTACTTTGGTCAGACACACAAATACAAAGTTGCAGAGCCAGCCAGCTTCCCTATTATTGCAACCATACTAGTATATTTTTAGATGTGAAAATGGGAAGTAATTAACCACAAACGCTGATTTTTGCAGAATTTTACACCATAAGCATAAATCTAATTCTTGGTTTCAAAATACGATGACGATTTTATGACATGTTGACAGATGACACATTAATGCCATTGGTAATCAGCATTTATTATGCAACTATATTTGTATAAAGGTTGTTTGTACCCTCCTTCAGTGGACAGAACTCTCTTCCCTGTGCAGTTTAAAAAAACTTGGCTCAAGAGTGGTCTCCACTCGGGGAATTTTCCCATACCCATCCTCGTATCCACTCTCATCCTTTCCCCAACTTGCCCATTAATAAGGAAGCAACTCTTAAAATGCAATCCCTTTGTGTGAAGCAAATAGCCCTTCACATTGCTCTGCTCCTATCACAAATTCTGCCATTCTGTTCCAACTTTTGATTTCATTTAGGCACCCCAACTTTTGCAGATTGCAATTATCATGCCTGAACTACCGGTATCAGCCAATTTACTCATCAACTAGCATCCCCCTTTCCTCATTTCTCAGCAATCTTGGACAATCTAGGATAATTTGGGCTGCAAAATGCCAGATAACCACTAGAAGGCAATAAATATAAACACATGCTCTTTGTAATACTTCTATTAATATTAAAGCACTGTTTTTTCAAACTTGGCAACTTTTTAAGATCCTTCAGCTCCCAGAATTTCCTAGCCAGCATGCTGCAAGTTAAAGGCCACACATCTTCAAATTGCCAAGTTTGAAAAACAGTGTTCTGCTGTAAATTCTGCATTCCATAATCCATCTCTAGCACATTCCATGTAGCATTGCGTGCAGTTCCCATCTTCCTTCCCTGCATTAGCCTCACCAGGAAGCCACTTTTTCTCAGTCTGAGTGTCTGATCTCCAGCTTGCAAAACAGCTTAGTCACAACAGCTTCTCTGCTTCCTTGGCGCTTTCTTTCTCTCTTCTTAGCAATTCCCCTGTGCATTTTGGTCTGCTTGTATGTTTCTTCCCCATCATCACCTCTTGCACTTTTCTTACCTGGTGATCTTTGTCTTGATTATCTTGCATCATTTGCTTCTTACTGGAGTTATCCAGTGTCTGGATTAAAAAGCATCCAGGAAGGAGCCTGACAAAAATTAGGGAGAGATGGGAACTAACAATGGTAGATTTCTTTCTCTCTCTTGCTCCTCTTTTTTTTTTCTTCTAATTCTTGTCTTGCACTCCATGGTTTGAAAAAGCCAGCAGGAATCTCTTAACAAGCTGATTCCTATGGGTTCTGGAGCTGGTTCCTTCTTTCAAACATCCTGTCAGCACTTCAACCTGCATTTACTCTAGTGCTGACATAAGAAGGAGAAGAGGGGGCAGCTGGCAAGAGGACGCTTGACTTCTCACCTACTTATTTTCCCTGAAGATAATATCCCCTAGGAGATGAGATGGGAGGGGGGACATTCCTGGGAGCTGAAGTGGTAGATATGGGGAAAATGATTTGTAAGAGGGCCAATGAGATGCAGAGAATTGGAGAACGGAAAGGGAAGGTTTGGGGTCAGGAAGTCAGAGTTGGCTACGCCACGATCGGGGACAGGTTGTCGTGCTTAATAAAATGAAAGATTTCTTCAAAGACTATTTGTTTGGAAATGCAATTTATTTTATTTGAGACGACATCAAAACCTGACACATCCTTCATGTCTTAAATCTTTATAGGCATCTGAAATACTCTCCTGTAAATCTTGCTTTGAGGCATGCGGGGTTTTTTTCCCCTTCCACTTAACTACTGATAAATGGGTGAGATTTCCTTTTCCCAGGGAAAAAGAAATTATGCTCAAGAAACTATTGTGCTCTTTCAGTGGCAAAACATCCTATTGCTGTAGGGAGGTTGAGAAAAGAATCACAGTCAAATCATGTGATTACATTCTGTTTCAGAACAATATTGACAAAAGTGAACACAGGTTGACTTCTGGAAGACAAAACTCAAAGGCATTTCCCAGAAAGAACGTATATGGCTTGCTGTGTACCTTACTATATAATTAATTGTTCAACACCATTGTAAATGGCTACAATAATTATCATTCTTTATGCTTCAGTATTTCATTTCCCTTTGGTATAACTGCTCACAATTGCCACAGACAAGCCAACTGTGTACATATTTGATTCTCTTCGTTTACAACTCATGCATCTGATGAAACAGACTGCAGTAAGGAATTTTACCCTTTCTCTCTTTACTTTTTATTCATTGCTTTTTAACATATTCTTTTGGAGTGTTTATTAGTGAACCTTTTGTACATATGAACTGTTCAAATAAATGGTTTAAATTAATTCATGTTCTTCTATATCTTTATAGATGAACAAGCACAAAGAGCTATAGACTTTACAATTATAACCTGTGCTTGAATTAAGGATGGGGAAAAGATGGTTGCAGAATGTGGATTAAATCATCAAAGTAATACAATTTATATTCAACAGAGCAAATAACAAGAAATTTGAAGAAATTTAATTTTTTGTATTTTAAAAAATACAAGATATGTATTAAAACAATAACAAGCATAAAACAATATAAGCCATTGAAATAAACATAAAAGACGAACAAAATATGTTGCTAGATTTCTGTTTTCCCCACATCCTTTATTAGGAGTAGTAAAGCAGTACCGGTATATCACAAAAAAGGTGCTACTAATCACTAGGACTATGTGTATTGTAGTTTATATTTGGAAATCCGATGCTATTTTTGTATAGCACATGGCTAAAAAAACCTATTTTAATCAATTAGTAGCAGTGCTGCTGATATACCATATGGACAAAAAGAAAACCATGGGATGTGGGAGTAAGAAGGATGTGGGAGTAAATTACATTATAGATTAATGCATGATTTTTAAAAATGTATTAAAAATAAGTCCTACTTGCATGACTTGCCAAGATACATTACTGTAAGTTAGTAAAACATGGTTTATATTTATATGGAAATCTAGTTACTTCTAGTTTCTTAAAACCAGCCCTAGTTTTCCTTCTTTTCCTCTTTTTTTCTTACACTTTCACTCTTTTTCTCTCCTGAGCCTTTTCGTTTTTTCAAATCTGTTTTTTATTCGTTTATCCCTTAGTTTTGTAGTTTTTTTGTTTATGTATAATTCTACATTCCTTATTTACAGAAATCATTTCAAAATTTAGAATGAAATCCACTGGGAACCATCTCAAATAAGGCAGGCTCTGAGTCTCTCTAACCAAATATGTTTAAACCAGATATGTTTATCGATAAAAGAGAATATTTGTAGCTCAGGGTTGAACTCTGGGTTCCTTGGTGCTCTCTGAGCTTGATGGTTTTCTTGCAGATGTTTCATTACCAAACTAGGTAACATCATCAGTACTAGAAGGGAGTGGAGTTTGCTCTTATTTTCAGGTACTAGTGGATTGTCAGTGTTGATCAGTTGCTTCACAAACAGTGTTTTGATTGGTGCCAGGTCTCCACAGCCTCAGGCAGAGAAGGACTATTTTGCACCCCTCCCTCAAATGTTCTTTAAAATACAGAGTTTCCCAGCATTCGTTTAGGAACCTCCAACATGCAAACTGTGGTTACTCATCCTAAAATGAATCCTCTTTACCTGGAGCTTCAAAATTTGCTGTTTGCTGGGAAGGTGTATGGCTAAAAGTCAGTCTACATTTAGTCTACATCTGGGAATATTTCTTCATAACTAAACAAAAGTGTATTTTCTGTGCGGGTCCCACCCCTTGCTTGCTGGATCTGGATGTCACAAAGCAAAGCCCACATTTTGTAATTAACCCCCGCACTCCGTTTTGGCTGACAGAGTGCTGCAGGAGGCTGAATGCTGTCATGCCCATCCTGGCCACGCCCCCAACCACACCTATCCTGGCCACGTCCCCAGGCCTCCGAGATCAAACACAACCTTGATGTGGCTCTCAATTGAGTTTGACACCCCTGCTTTAGAGTAATGGGGAACACACTTTGTGTCTTTGTAAGCACAATTGCAGCCAATGACTAGGTCAATAAGATGCTTTTTTTTTTTAACAATTACCAAGCAAGAGCACAGACCAGGTTAACAAGAAACAACTCTTCATTAATTTTAATGAGTCGTTGCCTTATTTTGTAATGAATCAAAACAAAATAAATAGATGTTAGAATTAAACTA